ATGGTGCTCTAGGAGGAGATTCAGGTGACAAGGTGGAGGGGGGGTTACCTTGGTTGCTGATTGGCTAATGGTTACACAAGCCAAAACATCTATGACATCATAAAGTGGCCAAAATCTGATCAGCTCATTTCCAGACAGGTTTTTATAGAAATGGATCAGGACAAAAAGAGAGGTCTATTCATACTTTAATGATCTATTGATGGTGTTTTTCTTACACCACCCCTACTGTGTACTACTCTGCATTCTCTCTTTAGGAGGTAGTTAGCCAAATGAACCATTTGTATTTGATTTGTATTTGAAACAGCGAGTTAGAGCCTTCTTGCTCCCTTGATGAAAACACTTCAGGAACATTATGACATATTGCAGTAAATGAAATATGCATATCACTTTGGAGAAGCTGCTTGTTCAGCTCCACTCCAACACCAGACCAACGACATGCAGTGTTTCATTTACATTCTTTCATCTTTTTAAATGTGTGTTTTTCTTAATAAAACCAATTATAAATTGTTGGTTTTTCCCACCAATATCACACGTATTGATCGGTGTGAACCGCCTGAACTAGGGGAGCTGGAGAGACAATAATAACACCATCACTACAGAGAAGCTCGCTGTCCAGCTCCACCAACACACCAGACACCAGGAAGCAGTCTTTTCTTTTCCACACATTTCATTTCCCCTTCTGCATTTCTCTTATTAAGACCAATTATTAATGTTTGCAATTATCCCAGTTATAGTCCAATAATTTTTTTCATGTAATCGTTTATTTGAACCGGGACAGTGCACATTAATGAACATTTTAAACAAAATAATGCTTTTAAATGTAAATGAGCCAGATTTTTAGCTTTGAGCTAGTTTCCATCCGTAGTCCCGTCACATACAACATTTACAATAAGACAACCGACTGCGTCAAACGTCAAAGTCAGGGATCATTTAAAGGACATTTGTGATGAAAGCGCATTACGAATAGCATTCCTCACAGAGAGAGGAAGCATTGGTCCGCTGCAGGAACATACATATTGATCAGCGTGAACGGACTCAACTTAGAGAGCTGGAGAGACAAGAGGGAGCATGAATAAGTGATGTGTGTTGAGAGGGTGCTGGTTATCTACAGGGAGACTGTTTTTAAACACACATACAGTACACAGAGAGAGAGAGAGAGAGAGAGAGAGAGAGAGAGAGAGAGAGAGAGAGAGAGAGAGAGAGAGAGAGAGACAGAAGCTCTTAGCCTTTACTGTGGCGCGCCGCCTGTCAGCTTGAATCTGCATCAACAAGACGAGCGAGAGGGCAGAGAGGAAAGCGAAGGAAAAGACTAACTCCAGAAGAGTGAGAGTTAATGAGGGAGAGAGAGAGAAAGAGAGAGAGAGAGGGAGGGGGCTTTTCTCATCCTTTCTCTTAAAGACTGAGAGCGTTTCTCTCTCCTCTCAGTCGCACCGAGGCGGGAGGAACGCTCCGGTGAAATTTAACTCGTTCCAGATATCTGTCTCACACGCCTCCCTCTCTCTGTCCCTCCCTCTCTCTCTCTCTCTCTCTCTCTCTCTCTCTCTCTCTCTCTCTCTCTCTCTCTCTCTCTCTCTCTCTCTCTCCCCCTCCAGGTGATCACTCCTTTCCGTAGACTCATCCTCTGCGCGGAGAACAGGAAAGAGATGGAGGACTGGATCAGCTCTCTGAAGTCCGTCCAGTCCCGAGAACATTACGAGGTGAGGAGCGCTTCCCTTCGTCTGCAGACACATGATGAGTGTGTGTGTGTGTGTGTGTGTGTGTGTGTGTGTGTGTGTGTGTGTGTGTGTGTGTGTGTGTGTGTGTGTGTGTGTGTGTGTGTGTGTGTGTGTGTGTGTGTGTGTGTGTGTGTGTATGTGTGTAGGGGACAGATAGTGCTGCATGAAGGAACAATAGATCTGTGTTTAGGCGTATCCTCTTCTGCGGATGCTGGCACTAGTGCTGCTGTTTGGGACGCGCTCGTTTCTCCTCTTACTGCTGCCGAAAAAAGCGTTGCATTTGATACAAGTTGCACTGAAGACAGGTGGATATCTAAGAAGTATTTATAGGGTCAGAGCTACAGGTGTGCAGTCACAGGTGTGCAACTGTAGATACAATAAAGAAACCACGCACACGTCTGAAACATGCTGACCGTCCGAAAGTGTCTCCATCTACCTTATTTTAAATGCTTAGTTTTCGGTTCAGCGATCCTGGAAACGGCGACTTGCTTCTTTAAAAAGTCCTTTCAATTAACCGCTTTATGTATATGATATATGTTCAGTGAGGGCAGAGCAGGAGGACGGCATTTAAAACGCCTTTGTGAGTTACAGTATGTACATGTATGCTCTCACACAGAAATGTAAAGCATGCTGACCGTCACAAAGCACATTCTTTCTTATTTGAATTCTCATCTTCCAGGATAGTGTTTCTGGAAGCAGGCGACTTTCATCAAACAGACAGTATTTGTGTAAATAATAATTAAATATGAGGAGAGCGCAGGAAGACAGCAATACTGCTTTTAGATTCCTTTGTGTGTTACAGTATGTACATGAATACAGAAAACCAGAAACACGCAAAGTCTTTTTTTTGAAATGTTTAGTCAATTTATTGAACATGTCAGAAACAAAACATTTAATAATAATAATATATATATTATTATTATTATTTTTTTTTCTCACTCATAATAATAATTATAACAAAGTACAAAAAAAGAAATATAATAATTCTCAGATAGTCTCTGTCATGTTCAACAGGGGCAAGAAGAAGCTTAAAAAAAACTTTTCTGGTCCTACCCCCTTCTATCATACATTTTCCTTATAAATAAAATATCTGCAACGTGACTCGCGTGAAAACACAAAAACACGGAGGGATTTTGTCCGTTCCTTACCTCCATATTTTTAATTCTCAGTTGTCAGGATAGTGTTTGTGGAAGCGGGCGACTTGCATCCTTTAATATCCATTTATCAAACCGAACATATCCGTAAGATGCAAGCGGATTAGGACAGCTTACTGCATTTTGACGTGTGTTATGTACATGTATGCTCACACTCACATAAATCTAAAACGTGCTGACCGTCACAAAGTCAGATTCTGCAACATGACACATAAACAGCGGGGATTTGTCTTTTTTCTCGCTTCCTTATTTAAATTCTCATCTTCCAGAGCAGTGTTTGTGGAAGCGGGCGACTTGCATCCTTTAATATCCGTTCATCAAACCGAACATATCAGTAAGATGCAAGCGGAGGAGGACAGCATACTGTGCATGTTATGTACATGTATGCTCACACACACATAAATCTAAAACATGCTGACCGTCACAAAGTCAGATTCTGCAACATGACGATTTGCTTTTCTCGCTTCCTTTTTAAATTCTCACCTTACAGGATAGTGTTTGTGGAAGCGGGCGACTTTCATCCTTTCATTTCCTCTCATCTAACTCACTGAGGATAATACTCTGCTGTGAGAGGAAGAGGAATCTGTTGACAGTGAGCGCAGGAGCAGAGCAGTACTGCATCTTAAAGCCTTTGATTTGGGAGGGAAATCTTATATAAGACCCCATCCCTCTCCCCCCCTTACTGCACTGCAATGCAGCAGCACCCCTGAGAGCTCACACACACACACACACACACACACACACACACACACACACACACACACACACACACACACACACACACACACACACACACACACACACACACACACACACACACACACACACACACACACACACACACACACACACACACAGCACCTGCTACTCTTATTTTTATTGTTGATTCACCTAATTGGTTATTTTTTATCAATTAATCAATTAGGTACATGATCCATAAAATGTCTGAAAATAGTGAAAAAATTATACGAATATTTCCAAAAAAGTGTGGTTTTGTTCACAACTCAAAAGATATTCAGCTTACTATAATAAGAGTTAAAAAAAACTGAAAACATACACAGCTTGGAATCTGAAATCAGGAAAATATGACTTTTATATTCTTAAAAAATCTACTCAAACATATAAATGAACATTCAAAAAAGTTGCTTAATACGGTCATTATTTCTAACATACCTATTTATTTGAGCAGCTCTTAATATACAGTATATCTCATTAAGGAAAGCTTATAGAGAGGAACGAATGGACTGAATGTGAAAAGGTTATTGAGTTGTTTCAGTAACTTTTACCTGTTTTAATGTAAAATCATGTATTCTGCTTGTAATTATAATGAAAACACGCTAACAGTAATATGCACTCATGTGTTATAAAACCTACAGTAGATTTATAATTGTGTATATTTGTTATGATGATGATGATGATGATGATGATGATGATGATGATGTAGTGCCCTGTGCTTTGTGTGACTCGTGCGCTGCCAACCTGTTTTAACTTCTCCTTTGCCAGACGGCACAGTTTAATGTGGAACATTTCTCAGGGATGCACAACTGGTACGCCTGCTCCCACGCACGGCCCACCTTCTGCAACGTGTGCAAAGACAGCCTGTCGGGGGTCACGTCCCACGGCCTCTCCTGCGAAGGTACGTCCCCTCAGAGTCTATTCATCACATTAATGCACACAGTCAGAGAGGGCAAGAGCACACACATCCTTTACTCAAGAAGAAGTACAGATACTCGTGTTTAAAAGTACTCTGGTGAAAGTAGAAGTACTGACTAAACTTCTTTACTCAAGTAAAAGTAAAGAGGGCTTTGAAATGCACTTCAGTAAAAAGTACCCATAACTAGCAGCTGTTTTAAAGAGTACCTGACCTCCCTTTATATTAATAGAACAATAATGTCATTGTTAGCTAATGAATGTTTCCATGCTGAACAACGGCAACATGACAACGTTTTCATTGGTCCCTCTTCTTTAGAGAAGACCAGGAAATGATGGATACACGGATCGTGTTCAAATCAATAGGCACGCAATGACTCTAAATAATAATGATCACGCCACCAAACACACATTCAAACTAAAGGAACCAGCCTGTTTGGGAAATGTAAGAAGTAGAAAGTACAGGTATTTGGGTTCAACATGTAAGAAGTAGAAAGTACAGGTATTTGGGTTCAACATGTAAGAAGTAGAAAGTACAGGTATTTGTGTTCAACATGTGAGAAGTAGAAAGTACAGGTATTTGGGTTCAACATGTAAGAAGTAGAAAGTACAGGTATTTGGGTTCAACATGTAAGAAGTAGAAAGTACAGGTATTTGAGTTCAACATGTAAGAAGTAGAAAGTACAGGTATTTGGGTTCAACATGTAAGAAGTAGAAAGTACAGGTATTTGTGTTCAACATGTAAGAAGTAGAAAGTACAGGTATTTGTGTTCAACATGTAAGAAGTAGAAAGTACAGGTATTTGTGTTCAACATGTAAGAAGTAGAAAGTACAGGTATTTGTGTTCAACATGTAAGAAGTAGAAAGTACAGGTATTTGTGTTCAACATGTAAGAAGTAGAAAGTACAGGTATTTGGGTTCAAAATGTAAGAAGTAGAAAGTACAGGTATTTGTGTTCAAAATGTAAGAAGTAGAAAGTACAGGTATTTGGGTTCAAAATGTAAAAAGTCGTCAGGAAAATAAGTAGTGGAGTAAAGTACTGATACCAGAAACATGTACTTAAGTACAGTAACGAAGTATTTGTACTCCACTTGTACACAATATTTTTTTTTTATATTACTGCACACATTTTATTCCGTTCTATTTCAATCTAAATCCTGCTATATTTGACTATATTTTGTATTATGTTTTAATGTTATTATAGTTTTCTTTAAATAGTTCTCTATCTGTGTTTTAAGAAATGGTTTCACTTTGATGTACGCACCATGACATCAAGTCAAACTCCTCGTACGTGTCAACCTACCTGGTGATAAACCTGAAACACGGGATGCTCATTCAGTTTTTACACAAAGACGTTTCTTACATAACTCTTTTTGTAATACATGGCCTCAGGAAGCAGCTCTCCTTCATTTGGACGTCTCAAATATTCAAAGGTTTTAATGTCATCTGCACAAAAGCTGCAGCGTAGGCAGAGGAATTTGGAAGTACCAGGGTCTTTGAATAATGCAACATACAGAACATTCAAAGAAGAAGGAGGCAGAAAGTAGTGCACATGGAAATAAGATGTATGAGAATGATGCAGCTGCAGAATGAAGTCAACTATATACATGTCAAAAAGAACAAGATAACACCAAATGTTACATTCATTTCATTTCAAACCTTTATTTAACCAGGTAGGTCCCATTAGCCGCGTTCACACCGGAGTACTTTTCACCGTACTTTTCGCGTTTAGTTCCGTTAGTACCCCTTATGTTGCGTTCACACCAAAAAGAGCACTTCATCTCGGGAACTTTTACCCCCATTTTTAGTGCCTGCTGAGAGATGGTACTTTGCTGGGGGAAAAAAGTGCCCCAGTTCTGATTGGCTGGGCGAATTGCAAACCATGCCCCGTACAACTCTGAAATGTTTTGTAGAGCCACCATTTTATTATCCTTGCATTAGCATTATTAGCATTAGCATTCGCCCAGCGCACCAACGCAGAGAGACTAACTAATGGCAACACAAAACAAAACATGGGAGCGGTGGAGATGAGGAGGTGTCGGCGTTCTGGCGATTAACTCAGAAGGCTTCAGTAGAAGCTGCTGGGAGTCCCAGCAGCTTCTACTGAAGCCAGTCCCCAACTCCGGGGACTTCCGGCCGGGGACTCCGGGTGGCAGTATACGCCGTGAAGTTGTTTGCTGCCTGCCAGTAAACCCAAAGCAGAAGAAGACGAAGTGACGTCAGCGGCTCATTTGCGTAATCCTCCCTCAGGGAAAAGTACTCCGGTGTGAACGCGATCTGTACTAAATGCCCTGGGGTCATAAGTGCCGGGGCTCTGAGTACGGCAAAGTACTTGGTGTGAACGCGGCTAGTGAGATCATTGATCTCTTTTTCAAGGGAGACCTGCAGCAAGTAGGTTCCACATGAAACATCAAACAACAGAAAACAATAAGGACATCATACATTGTATTTACAGGGCTACGTTCACATACCTATCGACATTTACAAGTACCAACAGTATCAAAGGTGTGTGGCGCAGTGGGTTGTGCGTAGGTGTTCGGATCAGGGGGGCACTAGTTCAAACCCAGGTTCAAACCCCACTGCAGTCAGCATGTCGTTGTGTCCCTGAGACACTTCACCCCAAATTGCTCCTGTGGGGATTGCCCACAGTATTGAGTATGTAAGTCGCTTTGGATAAAAGCTTCTAACAAGTATCATGTAATATCAAAGAGCATTTCTCTTATCCGAGCTTTAAAAACATGCAGTGGAACCAAATTGCTCAGTTTCAATTCTTTTTGCAGACTGTTCCAAGCAAGAGGAGCTGCACACGTAAAAGCTTTCTTACCTACTTCAGTCCTTGCACTTGGCACATGTAACAAGACCATGTGATCTCAGGCAATAGCTACCTGCAACTCTCTGTGTGATCAGAGAGCAGATATAAGATGGTAGTTTACCCAACATGGCTTTATATATGAACATGTACCAGTGACTGAGCCTCCGTACAGTGAGTGAAGGCAGACAGGGTACAGTGATGAGTACGTGCTTTACAGTTAGTAACAAATCTCAGTGCTCATTAAATACAGTGAAATAAACAACTGCTTATTGTTATTTTGTATTTTGACTAGACATATAGTAGCGTTGCAGCAGATCATTTGAGAACTGCATCCTGTGACTTGGCAAATGTAGAAGAAGTAGGTCTTGCGAAAATTCAAAATAACATCTGTTGTTTTTTCAATCACATCGAAATCACATATTAAGATATCGTCCAAATTGATAACAATTAATTACGAGGAGTGTTTCCAACAGCAGTGTGCAGGATTTTCTTTACGCATCCATTGATTTATTTGTTTATTTAATCCTTGCACCATGCATACAAATACATAACTCTCAAAAAGAGGTGAGTGAATTACCATCTGCTGTGGACACGTGCACAAAACAATAACAAAACGAGTCTCTATCACACCAACAATTATCCGTACAACTATAATATTACATTGAACTGCCTACCCCCCAAAAAAGTGCTTATTTAAAATAAAAAGTGTAGTTAAATCAAAAATGTTTCATAATCTGAAACTATATATTTATTTCCATGGAAATAAGATTTGTTTTAAGTCTCTATAATTGAATTGACTATTTTAAATTTGTCTAGTATTTTATCTATAGCAGTATATTAAAGTAGGGTTCACTGTTGTTTCTTAAAGTCTATTTCTTTGCTGTATTAACAGAAAACATGCCGTATGATATACTGTGCAGTCCATCATCATATGAAAGTACTTATATCGTGATAAAGTATTTTCTCCCAGGTTTTATATGAAGTTGTTTTAGTACGTAGTTGTGTGAGGACACTGCCATCCGAAGCTCTTTGTTCAGGCGTCTGTCCCAAAGCAGCAGATCGGACTCACCGGAGCCAGCATGAGTCTCTGAAACTCTCCGTTGTGAAGTGGGTTGCCAATCAAACTTTTCATTTGAAGTAAAATGGAGTGAGAGGAGTCGTTGTTGGGTTGCCATTAACTCAGCCTCCATATGCTTTTATACCATACTGTGTGTTAGAGGCACGTTGACTCATTTCCATTTACCCCATAACGGATCAAAATAAGCTGTTAAGAGAGACCTGTGAATGACGCAGCAGCAGCAGCTCCTCACCTCCTCCGTGAAAACACACTTTGGAGGGGGGTGTTAATTAAGAGAAAGGAGTGTTAAGAGGAGGGGGTCGACATGTGAGGTTGACACTGCTCTCTTTTAGCCGGTGTCAGGCACCATCTGCATATCAACCACTTTTAATTTAGCTAATGTTTCCCCCGTGAGTGCTTGTTGTCCATGTGTGTGTGTGCATTGTGAAGTGTGAGTGTGTGTGTGAGTGTTAAGTGTCTGTCTGTCTGTCTGTGTGTGTGTAGTGTGTGTGTGAAGTGTGAGTGTGTGTGTGAGTGTTAAGTGTCTGTGTGTGTGTAGGTGGTGTAGTGTGTGTGAAGTGTGAGTGTGAGTGTTAAGTGTCTGTGTGTCTGTCTGTTGTGGTGTGTAGTGTGTGTGAAGTGTGAGTGTGTGTGAGTGTTAAGTTTGTCTGTCTGTCTGCCTGTGGTGTGTGAAGTGTGTGGTGTGTGTGTGTGTGTGTGTAGTGTGTGTGAAGTGTGAGTGTGTGTGTGAGTGTTAAGTGTCTGTCTGTCTGTCGTGTGTGTGTGTAGTGTGTGTGAAGTGTGTGTGTGTGTGAGAGCCTCTCCACTCAGTGTTCATTATCCTCTCCAATGAGGCCCTCTCACAGGCAGAGCAGAAAGACAGATAGAGAGATGGTGAGTCATTAGAGCAGCATCTAAAACTCTTGAGATCGAAATCAGCGAGACCTGCTACACGCACGCACGCACGCACAGACAGACAGACAGACACACACACACACAGTGGGAAGATGCAAATGAGCTTGCAGAGCCTCGTTAAAAGCATGGCAGTGGACACATGGCACCTTTAAGGTCACCTTCAAGTGTGCAGTTTTTTTATTTATAAAGATTTTTTCGGTGTATTTTCACCTTTAATTTGGAAGATGACGCCATAGAAAATAAGTGAGATGGAGAGAATGGAGAATGACATGAAACTGAGGCGCCAAGTCCAGAAATAAACCAGGGATTTTACAAAAACATGTCATGAGCTTTAACTAATGGGTTAATGAGTGCTCCATTTGTACACATATTAGGTTTGTGCATGTAGTTCAGCGTGCCATCCGTATTTCCACCGTAAGTTCACAAATGCACGGTGATAGTTCATGTTGTGAATTCAAAAGCCAAACTACTTTATTAGTCGTATCAAAAGAGCATTTTTTGGGTACAAATATGTGTTTTTTGTTTGATGGAAGGGTTACAAAATTATGTTTTCTAAATTGATAAAAGCAATTAAAGGTAGGGTAGGTAAGTTTGAGAAACCAGCTCGAGATCGCTAGAATTTGAAAATACACAACCGGAGAAGATCTGCCCCTTCCTTCAGACTTCCTTATAGAGCCCCTCCTCCAACACACACGAACGCGCACATGACCAATGAGGGCACGAGATAAGTTTGTGCACAGATGGAAGGCTGACAGGCAGGTAGGCCATCCAGTTATTTTAGCCGGGCCGGCTCAGATGATTGGTCGTGCTTTTTACAGCGCCACGGCTTCCACAGATGATATTTTGTAATGTATTTATTGTCAAAGCACTTCAGATATTCATTGCTATCGGGATGTTAAGAGCATTCCATGGAATATAACAAAAAGTGTATCTCGAGCCGGTTTCTCAAACTTACCTACCCCACCTTTAAGCACTGATTTAAAGTTCTGAGAAAATCTAGGAGGAATATTTTGAGGGAATATCATATGAACATCCCACATCTTTACACACACCATTATCAGGGTTGAAGATTTTAGCCATATTGTTCAATAGATTAAAATGAAGTTTGTAAGGTAACCATGCTCTTTCTTTGCCAAATAGAGCTTGAAATCAGACGGAGACGCAGAGAGGAAATAAATAACAAGCAGAGAGCCAGGCAGCGTCTCTATCAAACGTCCAGACAAACAGTTTCACAGCAATCAACCAGGCTTAAATCCCCCCTTCGATTTCCTGCACAGGACGACCGCTGGGGATTGATTTGAGCACACACACACACACACACACACACACACACACACTGTTTTGTTGAGAGTGGAGCGGACATTAACAGCGGTATCATGTCCTCTGAATCCTCCTAATGTCCTCCTAATGCTCCCTAACAGCATTTAGCGGTAAAATTAATTGAAAACATAAATTGTTGCTCCCGGATATGACTCTGTCTTAGTTTGGATCTGTGTGGATGTTCTTAATGACTATACTTAGTGTGTGTGTGTGTGTGTGTGTGTGTGTGTGTGTGTGTGTGTGTGTGTGTGTGTGTGTGTGTGTGTGTGTGTGTGTGTGTGTGTGTGTGTGTGTGTGTGTGTGTGTGTGTGTGTGTGTGTGTGTGTGTGTGTGTGTGTGTGTGTGTGTGTGTGTGGTAGTTAGAAGCAAAGTTGGCCCGCAGCTCAGACATTATTCATGGATCCACTAAGTGCCTCGTCCTTAATGGAGAAAAGAGGCGAGAGCAATCCCCGTCTGGCGATACATCTTCATCTCCTCTATAAGAAGTATTCATGCTCGATTTGCATTTCGCTCTTCTACTTCTTCTTATTCAGAACGAACTGCGTTAAATACTTTAGAGTACATGTATGGGAAGTGGAAGTGCTTCTCGTACATACTGAGTGAACTGCAACAGATGGACGGATATTCATTTTGTATTAAGTTAGGAATTGAGGTACGCATTTTGATCCTTTTCCTGCAATCTTTGTAAATGGATAATTCCATATTTTGTGAATTTGTTTATCTGCTCTCCTGCTGACAGTCAGATTAGAAGGTGTTCTTTTATTATTTAGTACAAAAACCTTACTGAACAAGCTGTGTTTTGGGGGGGTTTTGTGCCCCAGGAAGTCATTGCAAACAGCTAAGAAAAAACAACATGCAAACCACAACTCTACTTTGATTTGTGTAAGACTTGAACAAACCAAATGCAACGTGTAAGCAAGCGTTAGAGGTGTTTTTACCTTTTGGACAGAGCCCATGCTAGCTGTTTCCCCCTACTGCCAGTCTTTATGCTAAGCTAAGCTAAAGCAGTAACTGCTGCCTTAAAGGTGGGGTAGGTAAGTTTGAGAAACCGGCTCGAGATACACTTTTTGTTATATTCCATGGAATGCTCTTAACATCCCGATAGCAATGAATATCTTAAGTGCTTTGACAAAAAATCCATAAAGAAACATCATCTGTGGAAGCCGTGGTGCTGTAAAAAGCACGACCAATCATCTGAGCCGGCCCGGCTAAAATAACTGGATGGCCTACCTGCCTGTCAGCCTTCCATCTGTGCACAAACTTATCTGGTGCCCTCATTGGTCATGTGCACGTTCGTGTGTGTTGGAGGAGGGGCTCTGTAAGGAAGTGGCAGATTTTCTCCGGTTGTGTATTTTCAAATTCTAAGCGCACTCGAGCCGGTTTCTCAAACTTACCTACCCCACCTTTAAATATAACTGACAGATAAAGGAGTGGTATCAATCGTAGTGCAAGAAAGCAAACTGTATTTCCCTTAATTCTTGTTTAAAGAAGTGGTGGTTGCTATTTCAAATTAGAATTTGGATGGCTAACTCGATAGCTAAGATGCTTTTTGGTGTCTTAAAACATAAGCTTGGGATTTCTAAGAACTTCTTCAACACATTTCATGGTCAAATCCGGTGTAGTCTTAGTTTCTGATTGATTTCAGCATTTCACTAAAGCCCTAATGCTTCTACTTGATGAGTGGAAGAAAACCCGTCCACGATTTGCTATCCCGCTTTCCTAATGTATGGAAGCTACTGAGGATAGGCTGGTTTGGCATTTTGCATACAGCACAGTGTCTTATACTACAGAATGAATGCATGTATGTGCATTATGTAAGTCACAGTTATCAGTGAGCGGCTGTGGCTCAGTGGGCTGGACTTCGAATCAGGGGGTAGCAAGTTCGAGTCCCACTGCAGTCAGCATGTCGTTGTGTCCCTGGGCAAGACACTTCACCTCAAATTGCTCCTGTGGGGATTGTCCACAGTATTGAATGTATGTAAGTCGCTTTGGATAAAAGCGTCTAACAAATGACACATCAGCAGATACGTGAAGATGTGTTGTTTACTGTAATATTGGCTCAGGTTAACTAAGCTAAGAGGGCTTTTTGCTGTCTTAAAACATAAGCTTGGCATTTCTAAGAACTTCTTCAACACATTTTATAGTAAAATCTTGTTTAATCTGAATGTTTCTGATGGATTTCAGCATTTCACTCAAGCCCTAATGCTTCTACTTGATGAGTGGAAGAAAACACGTTCAATATTGTCCACAATTGGCTCTCCTGCTATGCTAAGTGGTTGAGCTGATTGGCAAAGTGTCTAATACTCAACACAGTCTCACGGCATTTCGTGTTATAGTCACGAAATTAATCTATTGTTTCGTGTCACACAGAACGATTTTAAAAGCAATGTAAATAATAACAAATTAGAAGGAAAAAGACATTTAAAAAAATACAGATTTCTGTATTCTGACACAGAACGATTTTAGAAGCAATGTATTTATATTGGTAGTATGTTTCGTGCCTGCACCAAATAATAACAAATTAGAAGGAAAAAAAGATGACATAAAATACAGATGTCAGTATTCTGAGGCTCTGAGACATTTCTTTTCCTCACTGACGGCAACAAAACTCAGACATTATACAATTTAAAATAAAAGGGATAAGGTTAGGCTTAGGGTAAGATATTGAGTAAGAACATGTTTTTATGAACCACACAGCTTCTGGTCTTCCAAGACCCGACCGGACAAAAAGACGTGGTGCAGGCACGAAACATACTACCAATAGAAATACATTGCTTTTAAAATCGTTCTGTGTGACACGAAAAAAAGGTGAAAATCGTGTTGGTGAACACGAATCAATAGATTAAATTAATTTCGTGACTATAACACGAAATGCCGTGAGACTGGGTTGTAATACTACAGAATGCATGCATGTGTGTGCATTGTGTGAGTCTCAGTTATCAGCAGAGTCTCTACAGATGTGTTGTTTACTGTAATTCTGGCTCTGGATGAACCTGTCCTGTGTGCTGCAGGTTTAGATGTTTCCGATAAATCTATTGAGAGTCGTGATGTGGAGCTAAGCTTTGCCTCTATATCTGTCAGAGATGTGCTGTACTGGCTCAGGGAGGTCAGTAATTACACCCGCTGACGTCTCATTAAGGCTGGATTCATTAGCTCTCTGTACTCTGAGGGGTCTGTCTGCTTCTCAATCAATCATGCATCAGTGGTCAGCGAATCACAGTGTGTGAAGAAACAAAAGGAAGTCTGTGACATTCTGTGTTTTAGATGCAAATAACGTGGGAACTTTTCAAAGACAATGTCAATATGAAGCTGCTTTTACCTGCTGTTGACGTTGTAAAACATTGTGAGACTGACGTGTGTGTGTGTGTTTGTGTTTTCCAGTGTGCAAATTCAAAGCCCACAAACGCTGCGCAGTCAGAGCCACGAACAACTGCAAATGGACGACTCTGGCTTCTATAGGGAAGGATATCATAGAGGACGAGGATGGGGTGAGTTTGCATGTGTTATACAATTTATTTTCATGACAATTAAATAGTAAAAATGTAATTAGAGCTAGATAATAATAACTCTTGTTCAAACTTTTTAAATTAATTTTTAGTTTTTATTATTTGTATCGTTGTGTTTCTTACCAATGATGATTACAATTAAGTTTTATGGACTTCAATGACAATGTCTTGTATTGCATACCCATGAGGAAGTTGATATTACATTTAATAAAAAGTGTGATAACATGTTTTATGCTCGTAAATTCATGAATGTCAGAAAAAGGAAACTGATTCGGAGCCAGTATCAACACACACACTGCTCCTAGTAGCCTAACCCTAACCCTGTTCAAAGTGTTTCCCATTCATTGAGCCGTGTGTGTGTGTGTGTGTGTGTGTGTGTGTGTGTGTGTGTGTGTGTGTGTGTGTGTGTGTGTGTGTGGTGTGTGTGGGTGTGTGTGTGTGTGTGTGTGTGTGTGTGTGTGTGTGTGTGTGTGTCACAGATTGCGATGCCTCACCAGTGGTTGGAAGGAAACCTGCCTGTCAGTGCCAAGTGTGCCGTGTGTGATAAGACGTGTGGCAGCGTGCTGCGGCTGCAGGACTGGCGCTGCCTCTGGTGCAAAGCCATGGTGAGACATCTGTCATTCAACGCTGCCTAATTATATGCTTACAGGATTAAAATCATACAAAAAACTTATCTTAATTATCATAAACGGGATATTTAAGACTACAAAAAGCATCCTCTCAGCGATACAGCTTCTCATACTTACTGAGTTTCATTTTTTATAAACTTAGGAATTGAGGTACTCATTTTTATCCTTTTCCTACAAACATTTTAAAGGAAGAAATCCATATTTTGCGAATTTCTGCTTTCCTGCTGACAGTCAGATTAGAA